GGCAAGAACTGCAAACTATGTGATATTAATTTGTCATACAACAGAACGAAGACTCAAAGGAGACATTAAGTGTTTGCAGCAAAATGAAGAAGATTGCATTCTCGCACACCTGAATTTGTGGTTAGAGATTCATCTCTCTACACGTTCTTTGCAGATTGTACCACCCACCCACGGGAAGCTTCTGGTACTTGGAGTGGTTCAAATGAGGCACTGGGGTTATTTGCCTCTTTCTTAAATCAGGACAGTAGGAAGGATAAGCCCTCGGAACCAATCATCTGTCCTCTCCCCCTGGAGCCCAGCTCCAGATTCTGACATTCTGAGCACCCTGGGAGAGCAGGCCACCAGGTTGCGATGCGCTGGGCATATTCAATATAATTGTGCCATTGGTTTCCTGAGTGTGACACATCTTGCCTGATTACACCGTGTGTTCAAGGAAGTAAGAGTTGGACGGGGGAGGCTCCTGTCTGGTGACCTTTATTTTGGCGGAAAGCTAATAGACATTCCACTCTGCAGAGAAGACACTCTCCCGGGGAATGTGCACGCTAATACAGACTTTGCCTCCATCATTGTCTCTAATTGAAAGAAGAGTTACATCAAATTTTTACCTAATGATTTGTACAACATTCTTACATAATTAAAGGAAAATGATGCAAGTCCATCTTCAGTAATTTGCTAATAGAACTATTTCCCTCCCCCAACCCCTCCCGGGCTTGGAGCTGTGGGCAATTATTATGCTTGTAACAGAAAAGAAAAGGGACTCCTCCCCCGGAAGGGTTGGGGGTGGTGGCGGCGAGGGCCTGCACTTTCTGCCTGGTGGAGGGATGCGGGGTGGTCTCCCCCGGCTGGTCCTAAACCAGCTGGAGCCCCCCTGTCCAGCCACCGGCACACAGAGGGTGTTGAGCAGCTAAGAGATTCTGAGCCTCTCTCATCCTTCTCCCTGTCCACCATGGTCGCCGTGCGTAGGTGCTCCCCACACCATGGTCGCCATGCGTAGGTGCTCGCCCGCCATGGTCACCGTGCGTAGGTGCTCCCCGCCATGGTCACCGTGTGTAGGTGCTCCCCCCCATGGTTGCCAAGCATAGGTGCTCCCCGCACCTCTCCTTACGGGCCCAGAGCAAGACCAAGGAGAACAAAGGAGGGTGGTGCCTCCTGTAAGGAATGGGAGGGGCCACAAGAAAATTCAAGTAACTCAGTCCAGCGCCCACCCTCCAGGTCAGAGCTCAGAACCCCCCACCTCAGCCCCAGCTACACACGAGACTCCCCTGGGGAGCCTTAAAGACACCAGTGGCCGGACCACACCCTAGAACGATTGCAGCAGAATCTGGGGGTGAGACTTAGACGTTACATCCGTAGTTTTAAAGTTCCCCAGGTGAGCTCTGTGTGCAGCCAAGATCGGGAAGCACAGCTCAGAGTTCGTGGTTCTCGGCCAGAGCTCTTGGTGCCCCCTCAGGAGCCTTTCAAACATAGGAATGCAATGCCCAGTCTCACTCCACACTAATAAAGTTAAAATCTCCCCGTGTGGCTCTTGGCCATGAGTATTTAGAAAAAGCGTGCCAGGTGAGTGTGACCACTGCTCTGTAGCAACGTTCAGGAGGTTCTTTAATGCAGGACTCCAAAAAGGACAATGAACATCTCAGTGGAAAGTGATCCATCACATGCATCGGCACGTTGGCCACATAGTTCATGGTCCTCAGAAACCGCAGCCCGATGCAACGCACCCGGGGCCCAGTGCAGAGGGCTGGGTTGACAACGCAGCACCCTCCACGGGAGAAGCAGAGAACCAACCCGTCTTGGCTAATCGCATTGGCATTTCGGTCTCAATTTGCAGGTAGCCAGAGTTCCAGTTGAGCTGTCGTCAGCTGTGTGGGTGGGTGGTCCACTCCCTCCAAGCGGCAGTCATGGCGCCGCTCTGGCTTCTGTCTTGTGCAAGTTGCTGCTGCTCTTTCTGTCCCTGCCAGGACACCCTCATCTCTGCTCTGTGGGGGATGTTAGGGGAGGATATGGGGGCAAGTGAGGGAAGGTGGGTCACGTGCCTCTGCTTTTGACTGGAGTATCAACTCCTCCCTTGAAGAATCCAACTAGAAAACGCCCCTCCCCCGGCTGGACAGCATTGTGGTTTCCATGGTTACTCACTGACTATTTTACTGCTTGGTTTAACCATTTAGTCATTTCGTACCCGCCAGGGGGGCGCCGTGGAAGCCGGGCGCTATCCCACGGTCGGGACGCGAGGTTTACCGTCCGCGAGTATCAGTCCGGGTCCTTGCTGTTATAATTTATTCTGTGCTTCTCATTAAGCATTTTCCAGTTCTCAAACTTTAATAACTTTAGTTATAGGTGAGATAGAAACAATCTTCCTGGTAATGAGCACAGAATTTCCTCCTCACCGAGGATATTAGACTTGGATTGTGTTTTCCAGAGTACACAATTTTCCCTCCTTCACACGGCGCCGTCCCCCTGCCCGCTGCGGGATCTAAATGATAATGTTTCCAACCCTGTAATGCAGTTACCCTCAAATTCAATAGATTTGCTCTTAAATGCCACTTAGATATTGTTTCTAGCCTACCCATAGCCCGAGTTATTAAAATCTAAGAGTAAAAACGACTTTATGAAGACCTGTATTGCGGCGTAACGGAGGCGCAAGTTCAGCAACACGTCTAAGGAGAGCCAGGACGCTGCGGGCCGTAAATGAGGGGTTAGAGGCCACGACGGCAGGGCCCCTTCCGTGCCCGGTTTCTTGGCAGAAACCTGGGCCCAGTGAAGTTTTTAACTTGCATGGAACTGGTAGAAACTGGAAAGCCATTATTTTTGCTACAAATAGTTCCAAAGGAGATGGGATTACTCCTTCGAGACCTAGTTTCTTTTTTGGGGGACAGCTACTTGAGTGAACCTATTAATTACCGAGGTATACAACAAGTACCTACCCAAGTTTTATCCTTTGTTCCTGGAGAAGTCCGGAAACTCCGACGTTTTGGGCTGAGCGTTCAGACAGCCTGGTTTCTGCAGGCCTCATGGATGGCGTTCCAGGTCCCCGGGTGTGAGGCCGGGTCTTTTCCACCCTCCCTGATGTGAGGCAGCAGGTTGACAAGAAGGCCTCATTCCAACGTGTCCAGAGACACCCGTCGGTCATTCTATTCACGGGAGAGACCTAACAGGAAACAGAAGTGCCCAGTGGTGGGGGACGCCTGCACTGGCTCCCTAAAATCATCACCCTGACCCCTGCTGTAAATAGGGACGGAGAGCCTAGGACACGGGGAGACCAGCAACACCAAGGCCAAAGCCAAGGAAAGCCGCGACCTGGACCCTGCTGTGCTGCGTGGACTCAAAGCGCAGCTCCCTGCCCGGTGTTGGCAGAAAGGCCACAGGAGGTCAGTGGTCTTGGAGGCTTTGGGGTCAGCAGTAAGAGGCCAGCTTCACAGCTGGGTCCCCATGACGTGGTGGCGGCCACAAAGTTCTCACACGTCCATCTTTGAGGTTCTTGGCTGTGGTGTCCAGCGTCCATGGGGACACCTGTCTGTGGTCACAGGAAGCCCCAGCGGGAATCTCAGCGTAGTGGGGGGCACAGCCCCTGAAAGTGAGCAGGGTTTCTGCCCACGAGGCAGCGAGGGGCTCCGGGCCAGATTTCTCCCCGTATAAACAGAAATGTGACCTTATCTCTATTAACAGACTGACATCCCACCGCCCACTCACACCTAGTTTCTGTGAATTTGGGGAAAGCCATTTGATTATAAACTCCTTGGGATATGAGGTTGGCACTATTGGCGGCTTCCAATAACACCTCGCGGAGTGGTGAAAACAATAGCTGGTGGCCTATTCCACGAAGCAGTGGACGCGTGTTCTACGTCTACGGCTTCCGGCAGAAATAAATTCCACGCACGGACAACCGTGCCCTGTTCGCAGTAGGCATTCAGTAAACGCTGGTGCTGCTAATGCTTGGGCGTGGCTAATTTAGCACCTCTGGGTGACAAGGCACGACCGTAGCACCACGCACATTTCCCCAGTGTGACCTCTGAGTGTGACCTCCCGGACTGACATCTTCATCGCCACGGCGAACGACTGGCTTGTTCCACGTGGGCTGGGGCGAGGACGTCCCCGCGCAGGCCAAGCCCGTCGGTCACCTGGGGCTGTGAAATGGGGACTCAGGAGTGAGTTGTGATCCTGCTCCGGCCCCGCTGAACCTGTTCGCCGGAGCCGGGCACACTCCTGTTAGAGATCTGTGTGGCGCGTCCCCGCGTCGTGCCTTGCTGCATAATAAATCGTAGCCCTCGCATTAACCGGTCAGCCTTTGCTGATAACCAAAGTGCAGCCTGCCGGCAGGCCCTGATCAATACGGCCTTCTATTTATAGGATTGTTACAAATGGAAGTTTTATTTAAATGAGACAATGCCGAGGAGGACACAGAAGATCGATTAGATAAAATACAGTAAAAGCATTTAATTTGGGTTTGATACGCGGCTCACACTCACGCGCACACACAGACTTACACGCGCATTCACACCCCCATCCCTGCTTTCCCCGGACACAACACGGTGCAGGGGAGGGTCAGCGCCCTGAGAACACCCCGAAAATGATCAAACCGTGACAACGTGCGGGATGGAGGCGGGGCGTTAGCAAAGCAAAATGCGACGTGGAGAGAAGGCAGAAGGCAGCAGGTGGAACGCTGGGCGGGGTGTAAAGGACGCTGGGCGCTGGTCCTCCTCTGTGACAGCCTTGCTGTGTGTCCTCGGAGAAGCCCTTCCCGTCTCTGGAATCCCATCTCTCTGTCTAGAAACGAATCGCTATTGTGAGGTACCAACCGCAAAAGGGGAAATAAACTCTCGCGGCCTTGCCCATCCTGATATAGTCCTGTTCCCCAGACAGCCAGGGCTTGAGGTTTTGGACGCAGGGAGCCTGGGTTTGAAACGCCAGCCCCACTGGGACTGTGCAACCTTGAGCAAGAGGCCTGGGAGGGGACATTTGGTATCATTCAGCCACCAGCGGGGCAGGGCAGTAGGCTCACTCACCTCCCTCCTGGGCTCCGGTTGATCGTCTGGGGATGAAGGTAGCGATGCCTCCACTTGCGGAGCAGGCATGAGCGTGAACAGAGGCCAGGCCTGCGGGGTCTCTGGCCACGGCTTACACGAGAGATGTGCCTGTGGCCCTGGGGCTTGGCTGTGCTCCCTGGAAGTAGGTAACAAGGGGTACCTGAGCCAACAAGGAAGACAAAGTTGTCAGGCTGCTAATGTCTAATCCTGGACACCACCAGCCTCAGCTGGCACCAGCTTCCACCCCTATCGGAGCCGGAACGGTGGCGCCATCCAGGCATGGAGGGAAAGACTGACCCTAGACTCCCAGGCGAGGTGCCGCATTCTCAGCGGTCACCTGGATTAAAGCAGAGATGTGTTTTTTTGGGAGGGTTGATGTGTTCTCTACGGCGACAAAGGAATGTTTCACTTTTATCACTGCGTTTTATCAACACACACTCATTTCAGGATTTAACGTTTCCTCCGCAGGACGGACCAATGTTTTATGACAGGGTGTCCCGACAGGGTGTGGCCGTCCCCAACCCAGGCTGCAGAGATGTGTGTGCAAGGCAACCAGGCGGAGGCCCCTTCCTCAAGGCAGGGTCTTGGGATTTTTATCTGGGGCAGGGGAAGCGAGGTGTTTGGTTTCCTCTTCGAGATGAATCCATTTGCTGCAATCTTGGGAAATGAAGTTTATCTTTTTAATAGCACAGAGAGACTTCATCTTGCAGATTAGGAGTTCACCAGGTATTAGGTAATTTAGATCATAAATTCTCTTCAAAGTGACCCATCATCTCAGTATTTATTTTTTCCCTCTGAAAACACGGGAGGCATAAAAGCAAGCTTTGTCGTTTTGTGTCTGCCAGATTGTCACATAAATATCTCAGGAACTACTGATCTTATCATCATAAAACTTGCATTTGTGTGGTGCGACATGCCACGTTGGCCGGTTACCCAGAAAGTCAAGCACGCGGTGTTCGACCATTCAGGGCCGGGTCTAACGGCCCTCATCCTGCCGTCTCTTGCGCAGGGCCCGGCGCGGCCTGGAGTGCACCGGGCGGGCGTGAGCTCCAGCAGACAGCAGAGGGACCCCAGAGCGAGCAGGCCCCCGAGGCCTTCGTCCGCAACACCCCGGGGTGTGCTCTGCGGTGCTGCAGAGTGACATCTTTCACAGTGGTGGGCGCCTTGCTGGCTTCTCAAATGGCACCATCAGGGGACAGGGCTTTCGTGATCGTCGTGGCAAACAGGATTCAAGCCCACTGCAGGTCGACTCTGTTAGCAGGTCGGGTTGGAAAGATAAGACTCATGTTGAAACGAGTGTCCACTGATGGCTGCTGGGCCACTCCCCGCACAGCTCAGGAGGCTCCGAGGCAAAGCCCCCGCCCCCACAGTGCGGGGTTTAGTGTAGGGGAAGCTCCCCCGGGAGCTGTGGTGGCAGAGACGGGCGCGGAGGACGCCAGAGCGCAGGGCAGGAGGACTCGCGCTTTGCTGGGAGGCCGGGAGGACAGTAATCAGCGGAGGCAGCAGCACCACAGAGCATGGAAGCTTTCCTTGGTTTTTGGACCCAGGAGAAGACTGAGCATTCATACCTGTTGAGTGTGACTATGTATTTTTCCAGTTACTACTTATTGAGCACTAGCTGAATGCCAGGCACGGTCTCAGGGCCAGGGGTGCAGTAAGAACCAAGGCCCACCCAACCCTGGACTTCCCATGGTCTCCCATGGGTGGGGGCGGGGAGGTGGGGGCAGGTGAATGGTTAAGCCAACTGTCGCAGGAGTAACGTACCAGCCTCCGCCTCACAGGGCAGTCCCGGGGGCTCCAGGACGCGAGGTGAAGACGCAGCGGAGAGCACTGGGCGCAGGGTGTGGTTGGCGCATTTAGGCTGCGGGGGCAGCCTGAGCTCCTAGCACCTCCGGGTGCCATCCCCGGACAAGCCCCACCCGTCGGGCACACAGACGAGCTGCCGACTCTGTCTGGCCCACCACGCCCCTGATGACATGGCAGTGAGGAGAGCAGCGACACGCCAGACGTAGGAGGGCGTGAAGCCAAAGACTCCAGGCCTCCCTCCCCGGCGTGCGGGCCCCGCGCGGCACGTTGCAGGTGGGACATCAGTCCACTGGGAAACGGAAGCTTCACAGGGCTCAGCAGAGGCCGCCGAACCTGAGAAACAACGGGTGAGGCTCAGAGTCGGGATACGGCCTCACCTAGAAGCTGGGGGCACCGAGGACAGGGCTGGGCCACACAGGGCCGGGTGAGGACCTGAGTGCCCAGGTTGCATTGTTCTGTGTCTTTCTCTTGTTTCTGATGCTTTAACAGCCGTCTTTCTGTGGCCCTTTATTTAACGCAAATATTCTTTTCTTTTGATTCCAACCTAGAACAATATTAGTAACAGCTCCCACGCGTTCCAGCCCTTACAGCGAGCCGGGAACCGGAGCAAAGCGCCTGGTTAGCCTTCGCAACCGTTCCCTGAGTGCGGCTCCCCGGACCCCATCTGCAGATGGGGTGCCGGGCGGGGAAGCAGTTGGCAGGCCCAGGACTCACACCGGAAGTGCCTGACTCATGTCCTGGATGTGGCCGTGTGTGAGGTGGCAAAACCCGTGAGGCTAGGATGGGGCTGTCCGAATGTCAGGGGAACACCGCTGTTGACAAAACGGCCGTCATTCTCCCCCCAGACAATGCCCCTCGCTTCCCGAGCCCACAGCATCCCCCTGCGCCTGAAATCGTCCCCTCCGTGAGGGTGCAGCCTGAGCTCCTTCCTCCAAGACACCCTCTGATTCTCCCAGGTCTCCCGACACCTTCGCCCTCTGGCCATGCACAGCCTCTCGCCGTGTGCACGACCAGCCGCTCTCCGATGCTGTGCCGCCAGGGGATTGTGTTGTTTGCCCTTCTGCATCCTTTGAACGTGACCTCGGCTGTCCTGGGTGAACATAAGGGACACCAAATAAAGATCCGTCGAAGGGCTGGCCCTGGGTGGATCAGAGCTTTCAGGCCACGCGTAGAACTCACTTTGGGGATCTTGGGCCACTGGGTGCAGTTCAGACGCCCACAGGGCCCCACCCATCCCAAGGCCCAACCAGCAGCAGCGGAGTAAGGAGCCCAAAGCTAGGAGACGCCCAGCCCCTTTGGGCAAATGTGTCCCCATCCCCTATGGGAAAAGGGAAATAGGGAAGTAAAGTCTGTTAAGAAAATAAGGACTTCTCAGTAGCAATAAGAGGGAAAGATCCGATTCTTGGAGGAAGCCAACAGAGAATTCCCAAAGGCCCTCCTCAAATCCGCAGCCCACTCCCCGACCAGAACCCTTTGGTTCTCCCTACAGACGGGGGGCACTGTACCCTGATTTCTTACGTGAGCAGACCCTTCAGGAGCGCTTGGGGCTGGTTAGAGGAGGAGCATGGGTCGCGGTTCGACTTGGCTGTTTTCTCAGGGATGCCCAGCACTTTAGTTCTCAAGCTAATCCTTGATTAACACCCAGGCAACTTGGGCCTTTTAATTAAAAGAAAGAGAAAGTCTAAAAAGAAAATAGGTCAATGGGCCTTTCTGGAAAGGTGGTCCCAGGGAAGCCAAAGGCTCGCCTTGGAATTTCCAGGTTTCCCAGTGTTAATAGCATTGAGATCACATTGAGAATTTAGATCACAGGAACGGAAAGCTCTGTCCTTTTTCGCTGACCCAATTTGAGAAGTAAAAATTGATCCGCAGACCAGCTGGGCACGCAGACACAGACCACAGCATTTGCATGGACCGTTAAGAGTGTTATTCAGGGCTCCTGGCAGAGGAGCCGCCACGCCTCTGCATCCAGACGGCTCGCTGTGGGGAGGGACCTGCCTCCGTCACCTGTGCACGCGCCAGGGACGCCGGTCACGACCCCAGGGCACTGTGAAGCCAGGTAGGAAACCGCGTCGGGGTGCAGGGGGCGTTTGTGCCATCTGTCAACCCCGCCACCTCATAGCGCCCCACGGGGACCTGTGGAGGGAGGTGGCAACGTGGGAAGAGGAATCCCAGAGCCTCTCCGCTGTGTACATTTTCTGAGCTTTCTCCTTCACTTGCCAATGGACTAGAAAAAGAAAATGAGTATTACTAAGATTTTTTAAAATTAAGGCATCATTTACATACCATAAATGCACAGCTCTTAAGTATACAGTTTGATGAGTTTTGACGAATGTATATACCCGTGAAACCCCTCAAGATGTACATTTCCGTGACCCCGGAATGTTCTGTCGCGCCTCTTTCCGGGGAATCCCTTCCCGAGGCAACAGTGCTCTGTTCTGATTTCTCCCCCACTCAGCCTTCCCGCTGCAGACCTCCCCGTGCATTAAATCACGTGGCGCACGTGCTGTTGAAACGCCTTACGTTGCTCAACCTACCATTTCGAGGTTCATTCTCGGTATCACGCCTGTGAGTGGATCATTTCTTCTTCCCAGGTAATAGACCGTTGTACGGTTTGACCACAGCTTATCTATCCATTTCACGTTTTGATGGACACAGACAAAATTTAAGAGACTCAAGGGAGAGAAAAATATATTTTGAGCCGGAATTCATGAATTCATCCCACGGATGTTTGTGAAATGTCAGCGCCCTGCTAGACACCGTGCTCCGCAGGGCGAGTGCGGCGGGGCGTAGAGCAATGAGCGCCTGGTCTCCTGCCACCTGGACTCTGGTGGGAGATGCAGACCATGAACAAGTGAACAGACATGTGGCCAAGATAGTTCTAGATCGTGGTAAGTTCTACGAAGGCAATCCTCTTAGGGAAAGGAAAATGAAGATTACATTTTTAGGACAGAGATAAATACTTTGGTAGAGTCTATTTCTTAAAACTAAAATGGCTATTAAGATTATTCATCGGATAAAATAATCATTTGCATCCATTTGTGATTTCCTGCCTGAAAAATATTCAGGAACCGGAGAGTCACAGGTGAAGTGTGAAACCCACATCTCACTGATCCTTTCTTTTTCACCCGTGTGTTACTGGGTCTGTTTCCTCCTTGCGTCCCATCTCTTTGTGTCGCAGAGATATTTGTGGTTGCTCAGTGGAGATTTCTTAAAAATAAGAATCCTGTTTCTAAGAACTAAAAACAAGAAACATGTGCTGTGGGATTTAAATTATTTCTTTCTAAAACAACAACCACCCTCTCTCTCTAGTCAAGATTCTCGATACAAATATTTTTCAAAGGAAGCTATTTTCCCCCTTGGACCACGGGCTTTCTTTCTCGAGTTCTCCGGGCTGCATTGTTAAGAAGGAGGAAGAGGGAGATGCAGGGAAATACTTCAGCATTCTATAATAAAGTAGTTCATGGCACAATTAAAATGATGTAGTAGAACAGTAACATGATATGCTGAATTTAAATAACTAAAGCTGATTAAGGAGGACATCGGAATTAAATGCTTGATGGAGTTGACATAACAAATCCAAGATGGCTTCTCCGCATCGCGGCGATGGTGCCAACCACTGATATTTTCCAGGCAAATTTGTTGATAGATAAAACATTTTTATAGACTTTCCATTATTCCTTGTAGCCATCAGCTTTTAATTTTCTCTTTCTAGTTAATATACTTGTGTATAATTTAAACAGAAAACTGTTCTGTTTCATCATAAAAGATTTGCCTGTTACTTTGGGGGCGTAAATCAGGCGGACAGAGAGACATTCTTGAACTTGTTTTTTAAGGCATTTGTTGACAACAACAGAAAAGAAGATCACAGACACCGCCAATAAGCGTGGACATCAATTATTTTTTAATTGTATAGGAGTACAGTACACTAATTAAAACTAGTATATCTTGCAATGCCAAAGGCAAAATTAATTATTAATTTTTATTAATATTCAGAAGTAGCACAAGGAATGCATTAATAAAGATTTGGTGGTTGTGACTGAGATCTTGTTTAGCTTTATATTTTAGGAGGGGAAAAAAGAAGAAGAAGAAGAAGGTCTGCTGGCTCGATCCGAATAACGAAGGCTGCGCCACCGAAGGAAGGATCTTTATTGGAATGGAGCGCTCTCCAGAGCGGGCGTTTAGCGACAGGAGATGAGACGCGGTGGGGCATTATGCGAAAACCCCAAAAGCTTGTCTATGATGGTTCGACTCGACAACTCCACGCTCACCTGTAAAATTGTTATTGTTACCTTAGATACTTTTGGTTATTAAATTGGATATTTTAGTTAAGCCATCTTGAGTTGACATTTAATAATTCATTTAGGAGCCATGCACAGAAAGAATATTATCCAGCTCACCAAATCCAAGATGAACGGAATTAGTTTTGTGCACTAAAAAGATTGTGACAAGACTTCCTCCTCCTCTCCCGCCGCTCCCCTCCTCCTCCTGTTCTCCTCCCCTTCTCCTTCTCCCCTTCCCTCCTCTCCTCCTCCACAGTCGGAAGCACGTCTGCCGGGCTCTCTTGTCCTCGCTGGCACGGACAGGGACACACCCGTGGTTCTTGGGCTGGACTCTTCAAGCCCCGTCTCGGTGCAGTCCTAACACTGTGTAGGGCGTGCACGGCTCACAAACCTGTGCTTCCTTTCGGGCAGCTGACGCACTCTCAATTTAAGAAGCCCCTGATTAGCTTTCTTTCAGGTCTACTTCCTTTAGAAGGAATTTCGCCTTGGTGAGGTCTGTACCGATCAAATCCTTCAATGAAACCAAAAATCCTGGCACGGCAATGGCGGGAAGGCTGCCTGTGGATGGGTGGGCTGTTTCGCCACCAGCTCTGATATCTCCTAACACATGTCCACCCGCCCCAGTGGGCAGAGCGGCCAGACCCCCGTCCTCCTTCGCCTGCCACACGGGGAGCGCCGTGCCTCGCACAGCTCCTCCTGCGCGTTCGCGGATCTTCAAGGGTGAAAAGGAGAGGAACGGAGCATTCTCAGCTACCACGAAGCTACAGGCAGTTGTAGGCAAAACTGTATGGTACAGCATATGCACGGAGCATGCCTTCCCTTCACACCTCGGGCTGCAGCAGGACTCCCCGGCAAGCGCAAGCTGTCGCCGTTCCCTGGGGAAGGCAGCTCTCTGGAGAATGCTTCTTCCACCTGATGGTCCACCTTCCAGAAGGCTTGCTGCTCCTGGGAAAGAAACAGCATCAGGCCAGTCTGGGAAGGCCTGTGTTCCCTCGGATGTGCTGGAACATTTTCTCTGGAAACTAGGTGGAAAGGTAGATCTGACTTCACACTGGCAACTCTGACTGGCCTTGGGCTGGACTCCTTAAGCCATATCTAGGTGCATTCCTAAAACTGTGTAGGGCATGCATGGGTCACAGACCTGTGCCTTGCATGCCTCAGGGTAGAGGCGGCTGTGCGTTCAGAATCAGCATGGAATCCAAACAGATGCCAGCCCCATCAGTTAATCCCATTCCGCCAGAGTCCATTGGAAGGGGAAGGAGGATGGCTTCATCATGACATGGTGTATAATGTATCTGCTGCCTGTAGGTGACACCTGCCAGGTGACCCCAGGCCCTGATTCCTAGGACTTTAAATGCTTAGCTACCCATATCGAGAGAGGGTACTGTCTTGCCTTTTTTTTTTTTTAATTCCTCCAAAATCATGCAGATGAGTATTGCAGAGTATGCCAGCTATGAATGAAACATTATGATGAGTTGGTTAAAAAAAAAAAGGTATTTCATTCATTAATTCAAACAACAAACTCTTAATGAGGACCTATGCTCTCCTAGGAGCTTCGGTAGGCCCTGGGGATTCAAAATGAACAAGGAAGCAAGTGTATAAGTTAGTTATTGCTGCGTAACGGACAGCTCCAACGCTCAGGGACTTACGCAGCAGTCACGCACTGCGACCTGTGCGTCTGGGAGTGGGCCGGGGTTTGGCTGACGTAGAATGCGCTTGACAAGGCAGCTCTGCCCAGGTTTGGGTTTTGCTTTCTTAAATCTTCATCTATGCACTAGCTCTTACCCTTCCTAAACCTGTGTCCACTCACCTGCGATATGCCGATGAAAACAGGGCCCGCCTCTTCAGATGGCTGCGAACATCTGTGAGGTCCCGTGGCCGGGAAGCTCTTAGCGCGGTGCCCGGCGCACTGAAGCACTTGGCACAGGTCGCCGCCATCAGTCGCGTGCACACACCCGGAGGCAGAGGCTCAGAGGTTGAGGCTGCGTCCTCCCGCGTGTGGATGCGGGTCTCGTTCATGGCGCTCTTTCACCTTTGCTTGCGGCTGCGCGACGTCGCTTCTCCGAGCAGATCGGGTGGAAGATTCATTTTCATAAATCATGTTTACGTTGGTGAGGCTTTGTTGACTGGCTTAGGGATGAGTTGAGAGCTTTAGGGTACATGTCTGTGGGGGCGGAGGAGAAAAAGGTTTGGAGGGCTTCTTCGGTACGCACAAAGGTGGAATGCACCAGGAATCTGAGTTTGCTGCACAATACGGGGTGATTTCACTGCGTGAGGGACAGCCCCAAAGTGGAGCTGGGTGAGGCTTCTTGGCTTCCTCCCCCTGACCCTAAAGCTGTGCAAGTCCATAAGAGTCTCGTCTTGATGACATCAAGGGCGTCTGGCTGTAGTGTCTGTCTCTGTTACCTGATGTTAAACCCAGAGGATGTGGAGTTGGTGGTGGCCGTGCCAGGAGCACAAAGCCTCGGAAGCTGGTGGAGTCAGGTGCTGTCGAGAGTTACTACGCTTGCTCTGGGTTGCTCACCCTCCGCAGGAGCCAGGCAGGGTCTCCTAACCAACAGGGCAGCGTTTGCCTTTCTGGGGCTTCTCCTGCCACCTGTAGAGCCAGGACAGGTCCTGCATACGCAGACTCTCCTTGCTCTGTCAAGCACCTTTGTTTAAGCTGAATATGAGGTGCTGTCTCAAGTGGCTTAGATACACGTCACAGCCACAGGGAACACTTTGAGCCAGGCTTCTGGCCTGTGAGCATTCACCCAAAACACGTAATTTTTTTTTTTTAGGTATGTACTTTCATACAGAAAAAAATTCCTTTTTTTTTTTGTTTTGTTTTTGGTCAAAACCTGATTTACCTGTTATTTTCTTCTTAAAACTTCCCCACCAACTCTGCTGGTGACTTCCGTGTGAATTCCAGCTCCATCCCTTGTTCATACCTCCGTGTGGGTGAAGTCATGGGACTCTGGATAGGGACCCGTGGCCACCGGGCACAGGTGTGCATGCTCTTCTTTCTGCACGTCCAGGACCTGACACAGGTGAGACTATTTCAGAGAAGGTAGGACTGAGCTGAAAGAACACATACAGCACAGGTCTAACTGTTAATATTAGAACGAATCACTGGAACAGATTAATCTCCAAGTTAACCACCTGGTTAGAACAAGTTGACTGGTCTTACAGTCTTATATATAATTGAGAGTAGACTCAGACTAAGAGAGGAGAAGAGCATCTCTGCCCTTTGTAGGGACATGAGAGATGACTCATTCATTCATTCTACAAGTGATTATGGGTCATCTACCACGTGGAGGGCCCTGTCATAGGCACTAGTGATAGGTTTATAACCAGGCAGTAGTATATAGGCACATCAGTGAACAAAATAGGTAACATTCCTTATTCTCATGGAGCTAACATTCTAACTGCAGGCAGACACACAAAAAAACAAATAAAGCATTAGACAGATCAGATGGTGTTAAGTGCTGTAAGAAAAAAATAAATCAAGGAAGGGTTATAGAGGGTGTCACGGGGACAGAACATTGCAAATGAAACAGGAGGTTAAGGGATCTTATATAAACTGTGACATTTGAGCCAAAGACACAAAGGAATGAGGGAACTGGCCACGCAAGTAACTAAGGAAAGAGCATCTCAAGCAGATGCAACAGCATTTGTAGCAAAGGCTACAAGAAATATTAAAGAACGTTTTTTGGGTAGAGGAAAAATAACACCAAATGGAAAGTCAGATTTATAAAAAGGAATGAGGAGCACCAGAAATGGTAAATAAGTGAGAAATCATGAAATAGTTTTTTCATTGTTTAAAATATGAGAACTTTTTAAGGGTATAAATATAGATAGTTGTATAGTTCAGAGTATCTGTAGACAGTTTCATGAAACTGTAAGAATTCCAGAAGAAGAGGTTGGAAAAACTCTTATAGACATTGGCCTAGGCAAAAAATTTTTAAAGAAGACCCCAAAGGCAATCACAGCAACAACAAAAATAAATAAATGGGAGATGATTAAATTAAAAAGCTTCTGCACAGCCAAGGAAACAATCATCATAGTGAATAGACAACCTATAGAATGGGAGAAAATATTTGCATGCTATACATCCTATAAAGAGCTAATAACAAGAATCTACAAAGAACTCAAGCAAATCATCAAGAAAACATCAAACAACCCCATTAAAAATTGGGCAAAGACATGAACAGAAGCTTTTCAAAAGAAGATAGACTAATGGCCAATAAACATATGAAAAAATGCTGAACATCTCTAATCATCAGGGCAATGCAAATCAAAACCACAATGAGATATCACCTAACTCCAGTGAGAATGGCTTTTATCCAAAAGTCCCAAAAGAACAGATGCTGGCATGGATGCAGAGAGAAAGGACCACTCATATACTGTTGGTGGGATTGCAAACTAGTGCGACCTCCACAGGAAGTAGTAAGGAGATACCTCAAAAAACTAAAAGTAGAACTATCATTTGATCCAACATTCACACTACTGGGTATTTACCCAAAGGAAAAAAAAGACACTTGCACTTGAATGTTTATGGCAGCACAATTTACAATCACAAAGATGTGGAAACAACCCAAATGCCCATCAACACATGATTGGCTTAATAAAATGTGGTGTATGTATACCATGGAGTACTACTCAGCCGTAAAAAAAATACCCTTTGTAACAACCTGGATGGAACTGGAGACCATTCTTCTAAGCGAAGTATCACAAGAATGGAAAAACAAACATCACATGTACTCACCATTAAACTGGGACTAATCGATCAACATTGACGTGTGCATATGGTAGTAAAACTCAGTGTAAACCAAGCAGGAGGGAGGGGGAAGAGGGGATGGGTAAATTCACACCTAACGGGTACAATGCACGCTATCTTGGTGATGGACACACTTACAACTTTGACTCAAGTTTTTAGCAAAAAATTGTTGTGAAAAACATAGAATAATGTTATTTAAGGAATTCCCAAGATTTCCTTGAAATTCTATTTTTTGTTCCTGAATAACAAATATTAATGTTTACCTACAAGAAACTTACTTTAAAAATAAAGATATAAATAGCTTAAAAGAAAAGGATAAAAAATAAGCAAACCATACAAAAATTAATTATAAGAAGACTGTGACTATATTAACATCATACGAAGTAGACTTCAGTACAAGAACTGTTACCAGAGGTAAAGAGACATTTCATAAGGATATAATTCTCTAATCTTTATATACATAAACAAACATGTATATACCAAAAAATAAATCCTCAAAGTACATGAAACAAATATGGTAGAATTAAAAGGAAAAAAAACAGATACAAAATATTGTTGAAGATTTCAGCACTCCTTTCTTAGTAATTAATAGAAAGAGTGTAAAGTCTATAAAAATACAGAAATTCTGAATAACACCATCAATCAATGAGACTTACTTGACATTTATTGTACACTTTTCCCAACAGGACCGAAATACTTCTTTTCAATTGCACATAAAATATTCACCAAGGTAGACAACATCCTAAGCCATTAAAAAAATGTGAATACATTTAAGAGGACTGGAATCACACAGGATGTATTTCTAATATAATATTAATAAAAGTAATAAGAAAAGAGATCTGAAAAATCCCCAAAATATTTGTGAGAATCTCATGGATCAAAAAAAAAAATATTTCTGAGACTCTCACGGATCAAAAAAAAAAAAAAAAACACAAGAGAAAATCCAAAACAGTGTGAAGTGAATGAATATGGAAACCCAACATCCCATAGTCACCAGATGCAGCTAAACAATTTTTTAGAGGAAGATGTATAGCCTTAAATGCTTACTTTAGGGGGAAAAAAAAGGTCTAAAATGAAAGATATATGCATATACCTTAAGAAGCTAGAAAAATAAAAATAAACCCAAATAAGTAGAAGGAAACAAACAATGAGCAGAAATCAATAAAAAGAAGAAATATACAAACTGTCAAAAAGAAATTAACAAAACAAAAGTTGTTTGACTAGGTAAATAAAATCCGTAAACCTCTGGACAGACTGATCA